AAAATTTAAGTCCAGTGCTAGAAACCAGTTCGTACTACAATTATTTAATTTTCTATTAAATAATTATTGATTCATAATAGTATTAATTATCCAAACTTTTCCACTTTTTTTTTTAATTTCTGGAGTTTATAATACGAAAATCTACCCTTTCTTATTACTGATTTTCAAAGAAAATGTTGATCTTTTTCAATTTTGGAAACAACCAGACGTCTGATGATGCCCAATTAGAATTACACAAAGGATCTATCTTTTTAATTAAAAATTCTTTTAAGAGATCGTTGCAACTCGTAGGAAACTGAAAGTTTGTACATTTAAACACCCGAGGTTATCAAATGCAGGTTAGGATTTGTTTATATACCCATTTACTCTCATAATGGCGTTTCTGGAGACCTTGGTTATCAATCAACTCTGCACATTATCGCGCAGAACCGTTCGAGTACCAACAGTGTTGTAACAAATGACAAATTGTTCGCGAATGATTAATGAAAACGTTATCCACGTTTCCAAAAATAGCCTGATTAATGGAAATTAGGTCAGGAAACGTTGCAACGACTAACACAGTGTTGTTTCCGAGGAGATTCACATCTTAATTATATCAGCCATTTCCTTCGCAGCGCGTTTTCTTGCGCAATGTCCACCGTTCTACGATTTATAATTCGAGACTCGGAAAGTGTCAGCGAAGATTTAGAGCAAAGTAAACCGTAATGCGGGAACAAATGCCACGTGGTGCGCGAGCAACGTTCCAAGCATCTTAAATTGCGCCAAGATTCTTATTGTCGAGTCATTAACGACGAATGAAAACTTTTACAACGTTCCCGATTAATAACGAGAACAGATACTCGCTTCGCTGAACGTTCATTCGGATTGTGCATCTCATTGTAATGCCTAACGCAAGGCATTAGGGAATTAAGGCGTTGGGAAACTGAAGCAGGATGTGCCTGTGCATGCATCTGCTGAAAGTATACTGGCAGAGAATGCGAGTTGTTTCACAAAGTTTAATATCGATAATATTATTTCTATGGGAAATATCGTATAAAGCTAGCGAGTAAACGCTTTGTTTTAGAGTTAGAAACAATATTACTCGATATTTACAAGTGTGGAACTTTGAAACGAAAAGTTCACTCGAATTATAAACGCTGTTATTGAAAGTTTAGTAAAATACTAAGGAACTTCGTAGAGTAATAAATTTAATTGTTTATTGATATCGAGCTTGGATTCAAACATAAGGAAATCATTTTGAAATGTAATTTAAAAAATATTTTTCTCCGTCTCTGAGATAAAGCGTTTATTAGCAAACTTTATGTAACATTTGTTTCACTTTTTGTAATATTAGCTAAGCGGGAGACTTCGTATAGTGCAATCTTTTAAGTAACCGACTAAATTAAATAATCTCTGACGGTGAGAATTCATTAAAGAAGTGACAAGAGCGTAGAGCAATAAGTAGAAGGAAAGTGTGCCTTTCGTTTTACTGCCACGATGACTTCCACACTAATTAAGATCATGGTCAAGTACTTTGATATTCCGATAATTACAAAAGCGTGTATCTGATTGTGAGCGAAAGGTGTGTAATTGGGAAGACACGTTTTAGAGATGAGACCAAAAATTTCGTGAATGATTTCTCACGCAGCCTCTAATTGCTGAGAATAATTATTTCATCCGAGATTAACGCCACGATATAGATAAATACATGAATTAGTTATTTAATTATATGTTTATATATAATATTTGTTAGACAGATACAAATTTAGTAGCAAAAATGCTGACGTAGAAAATTGTTCAATTAAAAAGTAAATATCACTTCGAATAAACAACATTTTAATTTACTACTAATTAAACAAATAAGAACATTATTCGAAATGATTATTTTTAAATTACCATTTGAAAAGAAATTCGCTCAGACCTCGCAAGTCCCATTATTTACTATTTGAAAGTATTTGAATGGATAATAGAAGGAAAAGAATAATGTTGAAATTGGAAATTATGTTTTGAAGATAGAATTTAGTTTAGATAGGAAATTTCGTAATTGACAAAGCTAAGAACTGAAAATCGAAACTCTTAGAAGTTAAAAACATTTGTAGTTATTTTCAAAAATCAATTTTGTGACTCACTATATCGAGATTCAGTACCCCGCGAACGATATTTCGTTTGAATTGCATCGGCGGATCTCAGAACACGAATCTCTAATAACTTAGTAGGTATTGCATGGAAGTAGCATTGCGTAGAAAGTATTGTTATTCATTATGGCGTGCATTGTGCAATTTAGGGTATTACAAGAACGTCTGAAAGTATATACGTTGGAAATAAAGTGTGCGTTAGGTACTAATTAGCGTCTTAATTCGACGCTACTGTAAAACGGGACATATTTGTCAAAGTGTTCTGAAAAGGGTTCATCATTTTTTTGTCGGTTCTCTCACCTCCGTGACCTAATCTCGAAACAACGGAATGTACATGACGTTGATGTACGATCACGAAAGTGACCCCAGAATGTTGCGCGTTATGAGTTAGACTGGAGCACTTGTATTCGCGCGTTAGGCAATACATATAAAACGTACAGCACTCGGGAGGATCGCCAAGACTTTCGAAACAGACGAACGAATTATGTTCAACAAGCAAGGATAATAATCTCAGGCGCAATAATGTTCCATCTTGTGAACGACCGACAAGGTGCAACGGACAATGATTCAAACGACTCGAAGACCGTTCTTTGGCTCTTGTCAAACGCACACCAGCGGGCAAAAGTTAAAAGGTACGAGAACCCGCGTGTATTGCAAAACAATAAGACGATCTCGATGGCTTCTTTTTAATTTGCTCGGTAGCAGTTTGCTTCTTGTTAAGAAAAGTTACGACAAATTAAAGTAAACTACCGACACTGACCTTACTTATTGCGGTGTAACACTTTAGAAGTGTTATGTTTATTGCGGGTATGACATTTATTAAACGTTTTATTACAAAGGCTCATTGTGAAATGACAGTCTTTCCCGCAAGAATGGAAATTTCGTTCCATCGTTTCTATAGTTTATAGGATGTGTTATGAATTATTCAAATATCGTGGAATGTCATTAAATGGATATTTTGGTTGTTAAGCTTGGAAATTTATAAGTATTGCGTAATTAAAATTTATTTTACTCAAAGGAAAAGGTATTTGTCTTCCAGTAGTAATATTTTAGAGTGAATTGATGGTTGTCAATTTTTGAAGTATTGCAACTTCGTAAAAAGAGTTTGTAAAAATTCAATAGAATATGGAAAAAATTGTTTCCGGTATTTGACGTGGCCCACCTGGTATTCAATTTTTCCTAATAACAAATGCATGTATTCTATTCACATGCATAAACATGATTGGTACACAGAAACGATATCATCGAAGATCGATTTCCCGTTGAAAGAGATAATTTCGCCTTTTACTCTAACTCGCGTCGACGATTCAGATAACGATACCACGAAAGTAAACGCAGAATGTCAAATCAAAACATTGGATCGCACGAGCTTAACCATAATTCACGTCGGCCAAAGCTTAATAATCGATCAACGCGGCAGGAAGTAGCGCGATTGTTAGTACCAAGTAAGCGGCGATAAGTCGCATCAAACTGGTATAAATTGTTAAGTGAATAAAACTGTGCCCATTGAACTGTCCGACGCTCCGATTTTCGTTATTTTACTCGAGTAACTTCGTATCTTATCCGTGAATCAGTGGTTTCATGCGTTTTCATTCTTAAGTATACAACAGGTCGAAAGAATTTCCACCTGACTAGAATTTTTTAGCAAATTTATTCGAATTTTATCATGTAGTTTTATATATATTTGTGCAGCACACTTGTGATTGTCAGGGCCACCCAAATTATTTTTTTTCGTCACTAAAAATGACTAGTGTCTACTTCTTTTAATTTTTTGAGTTTTACGTGTTTACATTTTTGTAAAATTTACATACACTTAGGCTTTTTCGACGAATTGTCTTGCAATTACCTTGAAATTTGAAGAAAGTTCCATTTCGTTTAGTTTACTCATAAGTTTTTCAACTTTTGAAGACATTGTACACAGCAGAACGATATCTTTATTGAATAATTTAATAATCTTTTATTCCAAATAAATGCATTAATATTGTTAGTAAATGGTAGTAGTCGAATAGATAGCTACAGAAATGGCAAAAAAAAAAAATAGACTAAGCATCTTACAATTTTATCGAACAAAAACCAGTTCATATATAACTTATTTTTCTTTACCTTCTGCGTTGCATTTCCTTTGAATTAAAGATTTTGTATAATCGTTCCGTAGATGATACGTAACACATGAGATGTATGAAATGTACATTGCTTCTTTTCATTACACAGTGGACGAAATTTCTATTATATAAGAACCCATTAAAGAGTTATCAAATTCTATAAGGTACGAGTGAATCTAAAAATGAAGTGTTTTTGTTCTACAGATTGAATCGAAAAGTAATTAATAAATTATTCACCCCTATCATTTGGGTTGTTACGAATTAAATAAGGTTACCAGTTTTTAACATACTTGTTCCAAATTATTCTAAATGTATTCTAAATGCACGTTCTCTATTGTCAGAATTTTTGCCCTTTTAATACAAAATAGTAATGTTCTTATAGAAATTTCGTCCACGAAATCTAGAGATGTACGAAGTGTCTTATATTTTTGTCCGGTATTGTAAATGATAATGAATCGTGGTAATACATTTGTGTGACGTATCAAAGAGTCGTGCAGGATCCCCCCTTCCAGAAGAAGTGCTTTCCTGCGCACGTATAAAACCGGTGAAAGCGCCTGCTGGCCCTCCAGAACATCGCGTAGTACGACAACAGCAGGAGCTCCGACGATTACCGTACCATCAGACATCGATCAAATAGATCAACAATCGACTTAACCTTCCAACAAATCCAAAACATCGTAGTCGAAAGTATTCGTTTCCTCGTCACGTGCAGTTGCTCGCGATTCGGTACCTCTCGCACTCGTCGGTTATTTGTGATTAGACTATCAATAGATCAGGAGTGACAATGAAGATGACAGTTGCCAGAACTCTGATCATCGTGTCTCTAATTGGAACACAGGTATTAGGATATCCTCCGCAAGGGAGACTCATGCCTGGTAAGTGAATTCATTTTCGTAAACGTTTCAGATACAATTTTACTCGGTGTTATTTTCTTTTAAAAAACTAGTGCATTTGTCAGAAGCTATTTCAAATCTATATAGTTGGATAAAAATTGTGAAGTATTTTTAAGCAGATAGGTGCTCTAATTTGATGTCGTTTATGTTTTTCTATGTTACTTTTCCCTTTCATTGTTATTAATCTTTTGGGTAATGTAGCACTTGTGGAAATGGGGTTGTTCTTCGTTTAAAGAAAAGAACTAAGAGTGACTAACAATAAGTATCTATAGAGTTTGTGAATAATGTTTTTCTTTGATCTTATATTCGTCAAAACGAGTTGCGTTCTAACCTCTGGATAGCTTGTTTGGAGTAAGAATAATGGGGATTTCTTTGTAGAAATTTTTGACAGAAATGTTTATGGTTAATATTGAAATACTGGTATTTATGCTGATAACAAGATAGTAGAAACGATAGTAAGCCTCACTAATATTTACAAATGATTAAAAGAGAATTAGAACCGGCCTTAACGAAGTGCATGCGCACCTGTCGAATTTTCAAAATTGATTTTCGATTTAATAGCACATTGCATTAACAAATTTTAATTCATTTTACAAGTTTTAGTTCAGATTTTAATTCAGATTACAAATAACTAGAATGTTAGAACTACGAGACATCTCTAAATCACCAGACTTACATTTTGATTAATATCGACTGTACTAAAGCCAATAAAAGTGTATTAAATATCGAAAGTATTTGAATATTAGCATATCAATATGGTGAAAGTACGAGTATGCAGGATGTCTTATTTTAATCGATATGTGTTACACAATGGGGGCGTTTCGGACAGTTAAATGTCTCAGCTAAATTTTAAACGAAATGATATATTCTCTTCGTGCAACATGTTTTCGTGAAAAAAAAAATACTGATTTGCATAGTTCGAGGTCATTCACGGTTACTCTGCCAATTAACGTGGTACATAATAGGCTACTCTTAATCTTGATACTCGAAAGAAAGTTCTTCGGTCTATATAGAGTTTCGCATGATATGTCAATTACAATTTCAAGCATTTGATTAGGGATACGTTGACAAGTGTCAGGTATCCTCTACTTCAAGTTGTCAGGAGTGGTAGGTTATTCGCGATACCCTTTGTTATTTAAATAACCCCACTTTCGCTTTGAGTGTAATCCGCATTCTTAACGATTACAGAACTATGTCGCTGAATCCGCTTGATATCATCTTTAAAATACGCCAATATTGTAAAATAGATACCTTAAAGGAATAATTTTCACTCGTTTGTATAAACGTACAATTTCTTAAATTATTAAATAAAATTATTTTTATGAATACTTACCGCTCCTAATACTTTTTCAAAGCCCTTGCACTGAAACGTTGTTCAAATAAAAATAATTAATTCCGTTGTGATTTTCAAATATTCTAAACACCGATGAATTTTACATAAATTAATTACAATAGTATACGCTATAGGGAATTTAATGTAATCTTTAATACGTTGATTTTATTGTTCAGCGTTAGCAAATACGATACAGCGCATAAAAGGCCCTAATCCCGTAAAGCTTACCACCTTCGTTCGATGCAATTAGTTCGCCAAGAGCGTCAATTTTGGCCAATTTTCTTTCTTCTCTTTTCCTTTCGTTTCTTCTTTCTTACGCTCGCCTTCATTCCAGACAATTATAGCCCTACCCGTTTTCCATCCTTCGTTTCTCTTTCGCTTTCATGAAAGTAGAACACTTCCTTCTACAGATGCTAATCATGGTAATCTCACGGTGTGCCGGCCCTTCGCTACGTGACAACATTCAAAACTGCTGTAGTACTTTACAAACGTTTGTACAAATTTCCTCTGTCCTTCAACAATATGTTTTCCATGCCGAACCTTGAACGCGTTAACCTTCTTCTGGATCGGCCACGTTTCAGAAACAACCGAGTCTCTCCACCATTTTTATTCTATATTACGTAAAAATATATTCTATGTACAATTTAATTTATATTGAAGTTTAAACTCACGTTTCTTGTAACCCTCTATAACTCAGTGAGACTTTGAGGTCACATATCCATTGTCTACATTTTTTAAGTCTAATTTAATTATATTATTAATATATATCGATTGTGATTTTAAAGAAATAATATGACCAACGAAAGAAATAATTTGTGTTTATTAAAATTTACTTTTCAATTTATTTCTCATTATTAGTATTACCAATGGTTTCGTATAATCTTTTTCAAAAGTCAAGATTTGGGTTATAGAGGGTCAATATAAATTAAATTATCGCATAACATCGCGAGCAGAGTATGGACAAATAACTTCTATGGAGGTGAAAGTTGCTGAAGCACTCAAAGCCATCGACGAGTTAGGGATTTGTATATCCAAACAATGCTAAAACCGTTTATGTATATTGATTACACACGCGTTCATTTAAACGAACTATAAATGGAGGGACATATTTTACCGAGCATTCTCGTCGGTAATCGTACCAGATTTCCATTGATCCGTATGGGTTTACCGTTACGTTTGGATCTTTACAACGTGTTTTTAATTGGCCAGGTTACCATGAAACGAAGGTTAAGAGTCCTTTTGAGGACGTTTAGTTTATTATCTTGCAACAACGGGGACCGTATCAACGTGTCCAGTATTTCCTTAGATTCTGCACGTATATTTACACATCGGGAGTGAAGCATCAACGGCGATTCTTATAAGCGATCATTGCAAATACCTACATCGACAATAATATTATTTTTTCGTTGGCTCTGCATCGATCGATAAAAATATTTTTCACGAACGAAGGAACGTGCAAGAATGTAGAAACATTGACGAATACCATTTGCATACTAAGAACAGAATAATTATCCAAGAAAAAAATAATCTACCAAGAACAGAATATTTTTCCAAGAAATAATTGATCAAGAATGTTAATTAAGTAGTACAAAGACAAGTAGAAAATTTCTTTACACGTAACAATGGTTTAAATTTGGAATGGTTGGAACAAGCAGAGGATGTCCTCCCAAAAAATTGATAAAAAATTTTTTGTTTGATTTACATATTAGAAACTTTACATCTTCAATAAAGAACTCGTAATTAAAACAGTAACAATCAGTAACAAATTACATTGTGCAATTGCATAAATAAACTATACAATTTCGAAATAAATAAATTTTTGATAGAAGTATCAATAAAAGAACTTCGTTTCTATGATTCGTAAGTAGCTGAAACGTGAGGTCTCCAATATAAAAGAAAAGAAAAATCGTTTTTCGTTTCTCAGAGAAATCTGTCGGTAGAAAATGGATTTTTCCAAGAATTTAATCAGACTCGAACATTTCTACACAAAAGACAACGTTCGTATCCGTGTATTATAGATTTAGGCTTGCAAAGTATTACTCGGGGAGCACGTGTCTCCGATCCCCAATGCAAAACGGGTTTGAAGGTCGGCTTGCGGCGGACTATGTTGTACAAGAGTCGCGAAGACGACGCCGTGGTTAATTGACAGGACGACCGGTCGCGTGAATCGAATGGAGTGTCTGACACGTGCACGTGACTCGGTCATGCTTTTCCTTCGATGGTATTAACCCGTACGAGGAAAGGCGTATGAGCCGTGACTTTCTTTCTCGCTTGGTCGTTCTCTGTCTGGTGTTGATCGGCTACAGTTAGCACGTGCAAAAGCACGTGGAATCACGTGCAGCACGTAATCCCGACGTCAGTGTGCCCGTAGAGGAATTATTATTATCCTTGGTTGCCCCACATCATCGCTAGTTTCTCCATCAACACCAGTCACCCGAGCTTACGTCCGTCTTTGCTCGTCGCCCTTGCTCCTGTATCGATGTTTCCTGGCAAAAATCCACTCGTAGTCCTTGTTCTACGGTACGCGACGCCAACGTACCTAGAATGAATCATGAAAGTATTCCAACGCCCACCATCACAAATTTTAAACAATAAATACATGCCTGTTAAACTCAAGTCCTGAAAATAATTTGTTAACTACTGTAAGATACAAGGGTCAAGGTTATTCAGGATGTTTAAATATTTTTACATTTCTGTGCTACTGTACAACACGTTGACCAATAAAAGTTTGAATTCATCTTTTTATTTTTATCTTGTATTATTTTTAAAAAACTTAATTTCTTTAGGGAAGTGTTTTCATCCTTAAAGTTGTTTTATTGCCACAATAAAAAATTGTTTTCTTAATAGAGCCACTTGAACTACATGTCGATGTTTTCTTCAATGGTTCTTCGCAACAAATGTATCGTAACTTCTAGAAATATTATTAAGTTTGTTTCAAATTTTGCACGAACAAACTTGATATTTGTATCTTGTAATAGTTGCATTACTTTCAGGGCTCAAGTTTGATAGGTATATTTTTATTTTAATATATATTTTTATGTAATGTTTTAGTTCGAATACTTTCGCGATTCCCTATATAAACGCAGCGGGGTGAAACACAACGGAACTTGTTTGCAGAGACTGCACAACTTCCTCGACTTACGTAGCAGCGGTTTCTTCGTGTTAAAGCTTTGCACGCGAACGTTATCGACTGCCAGATAAGGCTGCCGATGAATTAACCGAGTTCGGAGTAAATTGAAAACCGGAAGTCCATCGAGGGAACGCGTGTCAGTTTATGGTATCTCTTAGAAGCACAATAGCAATCTATATCACGATCGTACAGTAACCGTAATTGAACAATTATTCGGAAGAAAATTCTTTCCTCGAGATAGGCTTTTTTTCTATATCATTTTTAGAATCTACAATTCATATTAGATTATCCCACAAGTCATGGCATTCTTATAGCGCTTTAGATGAACCTTTATATGTTATTTATAAAGGAATTTTCTCAGTTCTTTGTGTCATTAATCCAATTTGTCAATTCATTTTAGAATATAAAAGTAGAAGTGGTCAATTATAAAATTAAATGATTACTATTAGACTATCTTAATAATATTATAAATTCGTGGTATTAAAATTTGTTTTTATAAATGATTAGTCGTATATAAAA